GAATAAAAATGGATGATTTGAGGGGTGGTGTGAAAGAAAAGGTTTTTGCATCTTTAAAAATTACTAGAATTATTTCTGAATATCCTTTTATTTTTATTTTTTTAGTACAGGGACCTTCCGATTTCTGGATCCACAGGGAAACCGACTAATCCGAAATCGAACTGGGTAGGACCACAAGCGCGGCAAAGCTCTCCCTCAAGAGTTTTAACACTGTTGCATTCCCAGGGCTCGAACACGAGACCACTAGTTAAGCTGGAAGAGATCCAAACCATCTCATTCAAGCGCTCTTGGTTCCTTTTATTTTTTGGTTTGTTTTATGGGTCAAAAAAACAGACTATTCATGGACCATATCATCATGTCCAATGGGAAATGAAATTCTGTTGTTTGATTGTCAACATCATATTTGTGAATTTATACGTCTTTTCTTTTATGATACTCGAAATTTGTAAATTAACATTGATATTATATGTTTCATTCCGCTTCAGATCATGCATAAGCAATTAATGGTTCGAAATGCATATCGCACACCCATAAATGTGTGTGCACAAGCATGATTTGAGGACTCAAACCTGGGAAGTGGCGATCTATTTATATGGTCGAAGTTATATTTTTGGCAGAACGATGATTCAAACCTAATGTGGGAAGTGGCGATCCATTTGTGTGGTCGAAGTTGTATTTTTGGCAGAACGATACATTCGAATCATATGCATGATCAAACAATTCGATGGTGACTACACACTTGTAGAATCAAAACTACTTATTCAGCAGAAGAACAAAACGGTATATTCAATCTGTATGCATGATCCAACGATTATAACCTAGTGCGGGTAGTGACCACACTTGTTGGCTTAAGACTACCTTTTCACCAGAACCACAATTATATGCATTATCATACAGTTTGATAGTTACCACACTTGTAGGTTCGAAACTACATTTTCAGCATAACTGTATATTCCAACTATATGCATGATCCGACATTTCAAACCTGGTGCGGATAGTGACCATACTTGTAGGGTCAAAACTACCTTTTTTCAGCCGAATTGTACATTCCAATTGTATATATGTATGATCAAACGCTTTGATAGTGACCACACTTATAGAGTCAAAACTACATTTTCAGCGTAGCCTATATTCCAACTATATGTATGATTCGACATTTCGAACCTAGTGGGGATAGAGACCCCACTTGTAGGGTCGAAATTATATTTTCAACAAAACCTTACATTCCAACTATATGCATGATCCAACGGTTCGAACCTGTTAGTGACCACACTTATAGGGTCGAACTATATTTTCAGTAGAACCGTACATCTCAGCTATATGTATGCATGATCAGATAATTCGATAGTGACCACCTTTGTAGGGTTGAAACTACATTTTCAATAGAACCATATATTTCAACTATCATGATCTGGCGATCTGAACTTAGTAAGGATAGTGACTCACTTTAAGGATCGAAACTACCTTTCCAACAAAACCATATATTCTAACTTTATGCATGATCCAAAGATTCGAACCTAGTGTGCATAGTGACCACACATGTCGGATCGAAACTATTCTTTTGGCAGAATCATACTTTCCAACTATCTTTTTTTTTCGAAACGATAGAAATATTATAATCAAAAGGCACAAAGTGCAACTACAAACTGAGAGGATAGGTCAGAAGACCGCCTAGAACCTCAACTAGCCAAGCTAGAATAAAAGACTCAACAACTAAGAACAGGCACAACACCCTACCCACAACTAGAATCGCTCCCCACAGGAGAATAGGATCGGCCCCCACGGGCTAATCAACACAGGGGCCAACGGCCCAAACCAAAAAGACAATACAAAGCACTCAAGCAAGAGCCCAGACAAAAAACACTTAACTACTACAGACTCAAAAACAAACTACAACAAAAGAAAAACAACCGCAAGGCCCTTCCCCGACAAACGAAAGAGCTCGGCCGGCAGTGAAACGATCGACACAAGAGAGGCCCCAAGTTCGAGCGGCGACTACCGAAACTGCGAAAGGCCTATACAGTAGAACCAACCAAACTCCAAACCAATCCCAGAATCGACCCGTCCCCAACCAAGAGAGGAACAGCCAGCACCCACACCAGACCCACCCGAACTCGTCTAACACCACTAGCCGAGCTCGAGAGAACCGAACCCCGCCGTCTAACACCACTAGACGTACAGAGGGTGGAGAGAATGGCCGGCCCCTCAACTCCAAACACTGCCACCAACTGCCGCAGCACCGGAGTCCCAACCCACCCTTCAGAACACGCACCGCCCCGGACCACCACGAGACACCAGCGACCAGAAGCCGAACCCCGCCAGAGCAGCGAGGCATCGCTTGAAAAATCCAGCCCAACGGCCACAGACAAAGGGCGATGAGAATACCTGCCCAATACAGCACCAGCAGTAAGGAGAAGCTCGATTCGCCGGCCAACGCCGATCAGGAGAATCGCCACCACCAACCGGAGCCCCGTCTGCAACCACCTGGGCGGACCACCGACCGCCAGAGCTTCCATGGCCAGAGCAGACACGCGACATCAGGAGAGGATCAGATGGAAGAGAACGACTGCGGGCCTTGACATCTCCGGCACCGAGGAAGGCGAGCAAACACGATTGAAGGAGGTGGAGCGCTGATTTGGGAGAAAATCGCCGCCTTAAGATTTCCTGCGCAGCTGTTTTATAATTATTATTTTTTCTTTATTTACTTTCTATTTTTTCACGCTCCTTTCCAACTATCAACTAACATAAAACGTTATTTTATAATGTAAAAGTCACACTACTACATATGTCCAAAAAAGTATAATGACCTAATAAAAAATATAGTTATGCAACTTATTGAGGGTATATTTCAAATGTTAAAAATTGATTAATAATTAGAAATATGAGGTAGCAAAATAAAAATATATATACAAAGCCAATAGGCACTAAATAAAATCAAGTATCTCCCAAAACTTTCGGTTTATTCATATAGTTTGACCAATGAATTTTGGGCATGTGCTGATCTTAATGAACATTAAATTGCACCACTCCAAATTACTTGTAATTAATGATAAAAAAAAAAGTTTCTTAATTTATTTTCTATAGCCAATAATTTACATTTGGGGCAAGTTTTCTGTATTATTTTGTAGTAGTAAAGTAATTATCATAGACAGATTATGACTGAAATTTGTCCAAAACAGTCAATTTTCACACTTATCCTATTCCAGCTGTATTGTTTCTTATCAATTACCATCATTAAATGTATCTATATTTGTGTCTGAGGAATAAAAGATATATTATAATTACGCAATTTGAATATGGTAATCAAATATTTAATGATTTATTACTAATTGATGAGTGTATGTGATGCAGCGCATCCTACATCGGGTTTGAAAGGAAACGAAGCAGGCCTTATATGAGGATGTGGATACCTTCACTAGTAAGACGCGTTTTGGTGGGTGTGTATTGAAGCCCA